TAGTAGCAGTAGTAGTAGTCGTCGTCGTAGTAGTAGTAGTAGTAGTAGTGGCAGTAGTGGCAGTAGTGGCAGTAGTAGTAGTAGTAGTAGTAGTAGTAGTAGTAGTAGCAGTAGTAGAAGTAGTAGGAGTAGTAGGAGTAGTAGGAGTAGTAGTAGGAGGAGGAGGAGTAGGAGGAGGAGTAGTAGTAGTAGTAGTAGTACAACAGTGTGCCGGGAATTTTAAACTAACAGTTACTTGAGCAAGATTGCCAAACAATCTTGCCTCAATTGCCCCACTGGGTGGGGGGGTGAGCAAGTTTGCCAGCAAGCTTGCTCTAATCTTGCTCTAGATGGTAAACTGGTCGGTGAGCGAGTTTTGCCCCACTCTCTCGCCGACTAGTTGACCAATCGACCCACCAGACCAGGCGGGTGGCAAAAGCCTTCACGGTAAGCCAGAGCTCGCTTGCTCGGCCATCTTCATCATGAAGCCTGTCAGGTTTGGGTTCGGGGTCTGAATGCTTGTAGTTACCCTTACAGAAACCTTTAAAGGAAGCCTATATAACCCTACAAAAATCATTGAAGGTTTTTGGGGTTTGGGTTCTGCGATTTGAGGTCCGAGTTTGTAGGGCCTACTACCTCTACCACTACTACTACCACTACCACTACTACTGCTACTCCTGCTACTACTGCTACTAGAACTAGTACTAGTACTAGTTCTACTACGACAACGACTACTACGACGACTACTGCTACCACTGCTACCACTGCTACCACCATCACCAACACCACGACCACCACCACCACCACCACCACCACCACCACGACTACTAACACTGCCACTAATACTACCTATTGCTAGGAGGACTTGCAAACGTAGTAGGAGACAAACTGGGCAGCGTCTTGTCACGCCTGGGATCTTCCAGGGACTTCATGCTCTGCCAGCCCTCACGCGGAATCTTCTCCTGTGCGCAACGGGGAAGGGAATTCGATGCGATTTTAAGCAGGGGTGTATACGTGAATTGCAGGGGTTTCGGTGGAGCATACCCTCACGGGCTTAATCCTTTCCTGTCGGTGGTTGTTGAAGGAGACGTCGCTCAATTTGTGGTCTGTGGCTTGGGATTTGAACTGGTCATTGCGACATAAGCGGGGGATTCGTCATCTCAGTGGGAGTCAAACTCTCTCACAAAGGCTCTGCTCAAATACAAGCCCACTGAAAGCCTCAAGCCCGACAAACCCTCAACCACAATCTGTAGAACGTGATGCAACTCTGTATGGATAACATGGCCCAAAAACAAATCCAATGTCCATGGTCTTCAAACACTGTTGGGTGCACCAGGGCCAAGCTCTGGCTTCTAAACCCTAGTAGGACCCAGTAGGAAACTCGGCTGCAGCAGTCGGAACATGTGTAGAGCAAACTTACCGAGGTTCCCCAGTAAAAACCCTTATCTTTAAGGGTACCCTTTATCCTAATATTCGGCTTTAATAAGGAGACCCCCAAATAAAAAGGGCCAAAGGGTACTACAGGGGAACCTAGTTACGATACTTCAACCACACTCTTCCAACAAGACACCCGCAAACCATCCTATAAATACTGTTCTTCTGAGTAGGGGTTTAGGGGTTCAGGGTTTAGGGGTTTAGGGTTTAGGGTCGTGCACGATGCCATGGCCACACCGACCCCAAAGAAACAGCCCTTGGCAGAATCGCTCACACTAAGCCCTAGCCTTAAAACCCGAAACCCTCAACCCTAAGCCCTACGGTTGATGATATGAATCCTGCAATGCCTTAAGGACCCTAAACTATGGGAACTATGGTCTATTCCTTATTGTGGGTAATGCAGGATATATACCATCAGCTGTAGCCTTAAACCCGAAGCCCTGGCACGGATCGCTCCAAGAGCAGCGGCACAGCATCCAGCAGGTCGACCGACTGAAGCGCTGCTGCAAGGAGCACATGCCAAAGGAGAGCCTCACCGAGCTTTAGGGTTTAGGGTTTAGGGTTTTAGGGTTTAAGGGTTTAGGGGTTTAGGGTTTAGGGCTTAGGGTGTAGGCTTTTTCAGGCGTCCCTCTTTTTTGGGGGGCTTCCTTTCAGGGTTCCTTTCGGGGGTTCCCCGAGGAGTCTAAGGGTCTCTATAAGGTCAACCCTTGCAAGAGCAGCCAAGCTGTCTGCTTCGATTTGAGGCTGTTCGCCAGGCCTGCTAACAAATGAATGCAAAGAGGAGTTGCCGGAGGAGCCTTTCCGGAGTTAAGGTATGTGTCTGTGTGTGTGTGCGCAGAGTGTCATACTGTCATCTTATTGCTGTTGGCATTCTCTGCACCGAATCATGGGACTCCATACGTTCCCAGCAGTGGCTGCAATGCTGGTCTTGTAATACTGTTGTAGGCCTGCTGGAACTATGCTACTAAAGCGAGCTTGTCAAGAAGGCTAGTTTCGTGGGTCTCATACATCATACGTCATAAGAACAGTACCCTTTGTTGTCAATGACATGAGCGACTGATGCGGAACATCCAGCAGCTCGTCCGTGCCTCTTTGTCCAGCTGTCGACCTCCGTGCTTTGCAAAGGTGGTGATGAACACTTCCAAGAGGTTCTCCAGGGAGTCCAACAAGATCTGCAGCCAACATGGGGCCGTGCGTGCCGTGCTTGTTTGGATGTAGATAGGCTCTGGCTTGCGGTGTCCAGGGCACATAGGGCTTAGGGTTAGCGGCTCTGGAGCTTTACATCTAGCGTGCATGATTGCCACTGCAGAGTCGAGTGATGTGGTCTAGTCCCCTGGTGCGTGCTTGCAGGCTGGATGGTCCAGAGCTGCTGTGAGCGGCTACTGAAGCATAAGCTTGCAATGCATCTATGAGTGCAGCAAACGGAAGTACACTTTACTTGCTGGCAGCAGCAGCACTACCACCAACAACAACATAAACACCACCAGAAGCAAGACGAAACACAAGACTAAGAACCAACAATGCAGGTCAGGATCGGCAGCTTCTTGCATATAAGAACCCATAGGCTCCTAAGTAGCTCCTTTTTGGGATTACCCTATAGGATTCTAAATATGAACCACAGAAAGGAACTACTTAGGAGCCTATGGGAACAGCATGCAAGATCTTTCAAAGGCGAAAGGAATGAAACACGAAGGGCTCTTAGGGCGTAGGGCCTTGGAGCAGTTCACACCAACATCTCTGCCCGGAGGGCCCAATACCCCCTTTATGAAGGAATTTATACCTTAAATCCTAATATCAAGACCCCTATAATTTAAGGTACAGCTCCTTATTTAAGCGGTATTGGGCTTTTCTGGGTGGATTCCGTCAGTCTTGCGCTACTTGGACGACCTCGGGGTCTACTAGCAGCTACTAGGCCCACCTCTGCCAGGACCATGACCATGCAATTGGTAAATACAGCCGGGTTCGGTTTTACCCAGACCCTCAAATTACTGTTCCTTTTCGCAGTCTCCTTTTTCAAGCGTGTAAATCTGAACCATGACTACTACGTTCCTAGCTGCAGGTTGACGACCGTGGCCCAGCCCTGTAAAAAATTGCAAATCTTTGCGGCTCTGTGGAACTCAGCTACATCCAGCACACGCTTCCACATCTAGCCTTTTGGGAACCAAAGCTCTAGCCTGGGACGAGCCCGAATAGTCAGTGGATGCCAGAAAGCCTCTGAAAACAGCCCTGACCCGTTCGCACGGGCCTCTGGCTTGGCGAGCAGCAGCCAGCGCCAGATTTTGTAGCCCAGAGGTCCATCTGAGCAGCGATTTTGAAACCCTTACTTCGGTCGCTGTCACCTTTGCGCTAAAGCGCAGGACACCCTCTTTTTAAACCCCGCTGCTGACAAGCCAAACGAAGCATTACCGAAAACCAACACAAAACTGCCCGAACTCCGAAAGGCAGTCCCAGCCTGTCATGGTGTCCCACTCCCGAATCGCTAGCCGAGGAAGACCATCTGTGCTGGTGCGGTAGAGACTATCCACACCCAGGAAATCCAATCCGATGGCCTTGCCAGAGAGAATGCTTAGAGAATCGGGGGACTTAAGAGCTGGGCTTTAAAAAATGTCTTAAGTCTGGCTTTATCAGCAGTTCTAACCACAGCTGACTTACATATGACATCTTATGGACTTTACTTGTAACCCGACAAATAATAATGAACAACAGTGGCCTTGCTTGTAGCCCGGATCACAAAGTGCCCTGATCCTCGAAGTTAAGGCTTAGGGTTTAGTGACGGATTTTGGATGTAGTGTAATATAATATCATATGATATAACACGAAGTAAAATAATCCAATATAGTATAATATACTATCACACCATGTTGTAAAATATTATGTGACATTCCATTACATTATAAACCAAACCCCAATACAATGTAAACGAAGTTTTGACTTTATTGTAACGAGAACTTCGGAGAGCCTCGGCTAAGGCGATACCAAGGCTCGGTATCTGCGTCTTGCTCTTAAGTTTAGGGCTCATAGGGTTTAGGATGTGGGTTTAGGGTTTAGGGTTCATAGGGTTTAGGGTTTAGGGTTTAGGGTAGGGCTCATAGGGCCAAGGGTGTGGGTTTTTGCGGCTTCGGGTTCATAGGGTTTAGGGTATATTGGATTTGGGGCTTATAGGGTCCCTACTTGACCTTTGCTCCCATGCTCACCGAGCCAACATCTGGCTTCAGTCAAGTTACGTGGGGAGCTTAAATTGTTCAAGAACTTCTTTCCGGGTTTTGCAAGGGTGTTGATTTGAGAGGGCCTTTCGGTGAACCCCAAACCCAAACCCATGAATCAAGTTCCATCGAACCCGCCATCGAACTGCCGCCCTCAAAAAAAAACGGAACATGCCATCCGAGATTCGATCCGTGAGCCCGGAAGCCCATGTTCAGAATCCTCTAAATCCTCAACATTGCCCTACGCCCTAAACCCAAACCCCTGAGCCCTAAACCACAACAGAAAGGGACGCTTTGGGGGCCAGTTTTCCCACACAGTGGATTTGAAGGATTTCTTGGATGCCGTGTCTATGGTATTGAAACACTTGTATCTACACTGCTTCAGTGATGGACCACGTGTCAACCACACACCCAGAGCCCCAAAACATATAACACAAGAACAGCAAGCCCTGAAGCCTCAAGCCAACACCCTGTGCACTTTAGATATAGAGACCTATGTTGCGCGCACTCCGACATCAGGGTTTTTGTTTAGGGGTTAAGGGTTGAGGCTTCATGTTGCGTATCTACTGCTGCAGGCCTCTAGGGATTAAGGTTTAAGGTTTTGAGTTTGGGGTTGAGGGTCCCTAAACCTCAAAAATTAAAACGCAAAACCCTAAATCCCTAAGCGCTAAAACCCTAAACCCCTAAATCCCTAAACCCTAAATCCCTGAATCCTAAATCCCTACACCCCTAAATCCCTAAATTCCAAAATCCCAAATCCCTAAACCCTAAACCCTAAATCCCTAAACCCCAAATCCCTAAAACCTAAATCCCTAAACCGCAAATCCTTAAACCCTAAACCCCTAAACCCCTAAATCCCTGAACCTCAAATCCCTAAACCCCAAAACCCCAAATCCCTAAATCCCTGAACCCGAAATCCCTAAATCCCAAACCCCTAAACCCTAAATCCCTGATCCCCAAATCCCTAAACCCTAAACCCCTAAGTCCCTGAACCCCAAATCACTAAATCCCTGAACCCTAAATCCCTAAATCCCTAAACCCTAAACTCCAAATCCCTCAACCCTAAACCCCTAAATCCCTAAACCCCTGAGCATCCCTAAACCCCTAAGCATCCCTAAACCCCTAAGCATCCCTAAACCCCTAAGCCCCTAAACCCCTAAACCTCCCTAAACCCCTAAGCCCCTAAACCCAAAGCCCCTAAACCCCTAAGCATCCCAAACAACCCCGGGAGGCCTTGTAGCCCCATTGCGTCTGCAGAAAGTTGCGAATGCCGAAGCCGTTCACGCGGGCCGTCACCAAGGCAGCCCGGTAGTCCTCCACAAATTTCGTTAAACCCTTATAGGCCCTAGGTTTAGGGCTTTTTGTATTTGTTGAAGCTTTCTTTCTTTCAGATGGTGCTAAGTCCTCCGAGGACGTACCACAAGCAAATGAATTCAAGAGGTGAAACTGATAGAGAGCGGGGGCTGCCCAGGCGACAACTCGATGGTTTTAACCAACCAGTCGGCGAGCACGCCACACGCCGCCCTCGAAAAAGGAAAGGCAATCGAGCACGGAGTCCCCTGTCTGCTGGCCAGGACGCACAAGGAAATCCAGGCGAATGTCTGTTGAAGCCAAGGCAAGAAGTCATCAAATTGCCGAAGGGGGCAGGACGAAGGCCGCCAAAAGACCGGGCCGGAGATAGGCGGAGCAGGAATGGAGATGGCAAGGGATGCGACGCTTGCGACAGTCGGCAGGCCCGCCGTAAAAGCAAACTCCCTCGCCTCCCCGGACGTGGTCAGGCAATCAACAGGCCAGGACGCTCCCGCAACGCGCACATGCTGGCCAGAAAGTCCGAGCTGCATCTCTGGGAGAGGTGCCAACAAAGGGTCCAGGAAATCCTCTGACAAGGCAGGTGCCTTAGGAGCATTCGAAACAGCCTCGCACCACAGGTCCGCCTGAAGGGCTAAACGAGCGTCAACTGCAAGGTCACGTGTCGCAGCATCCGTCAGCTCCTGCACCCATACATCGACAGTATGCTGCAGAACTGGTAGCGGCTCAATAGTTTCGATCACTACCTGGAAGATCTCTTCAGTGCTATGCCACTGGCCCTGGCGCAGCTGCTGAAGTAGACTAGAGCAGATTGGACTACTCAAAGGCGGCAAATGGTCAACACCGACACCTGGCACAGCAACGCCTTGCGCGTGTCCTGCCTTCTCAGGCACCACAGAGAAAAGCCCCTCAAAGCCAGCCTCCACAGCCTGACAACAACGAAGCGACACTTGAAGGTGACGCCTGTGCTGCACGACCTGAGAGAAAGTGGTCGCACAGGCCTGGCAGCGAATTCCATGCGCCAACCGTCTTGCTCTTGAACGAAAACGGTGAACTTTCGCTGCGTGCGCCGACCAAGCATGGCAATCAAAGAAAGCCACTCGACACAACAAGCAGGCATGCTCTGTGGATGTGCTATCCACAACAGGATTGGGGACAGGGTCCCACAACCCACGCGCAAAGCCCTGAAACAAGACCTCAGCGCGGTTGGCCAACACATGCCAGCGTTCTGCCCGTCGAAGCATACCTCGCCACTTACCTGATTGTCGACACAAGGTCTCCCACTCTGCCCAATGCGAGTCCATTGGTCCAGGACCACCTGTGTTGCGGACGGCCTCCCGAAACCACTGTCCAGCCTGCCGGAAAGCCTGCTGGAAATTGGGAGCCAACTGTAGGAGTGCAAAGGCCTCGTCGGGCCCACTGCGAATCAATTGTGCGAGGAATCGAAGTCGCTCCAAAGCAAGTAATCCCTGGAGACAAGGCAGCTCAACCGCGTCGAGAATACGAAGAAACGACCAATTCTGTTCTTGATGCCTCCCGATTCGCAACATCTGACGCAGCATACGCATCAACCCTGTCTCGAGTAGCCCCCAACCCTTCTTGCAGAGCATAGGCCAAGCTCCACTGCCCGCAAGAAGGGCTGATAGGACATGCGTTCGAAAAAGCTGGACACGACGGCTGAGGTCAATCCGCGGAGAGCAGAAGACATCTCGTTTTCCCTCTGCGAAATTCCCGCGGGCACTCTGCAGCCTAACACGCACGTCAGCGGCCAACGAGCCGTCAAACGACAAGACGGACCCCAGATGCCGGTAGTGGGCGACTGCCGTTAGCCAAACCCCGGGCCCACGCGCCCGCAACACCGCAAGTTTGCCCCCTTCAACGGAGAAGAGCTGTCTGCGGGCCTCGCGAGCCCCTGGACCGACTGGTGATAAGAGCGCTGCGGTTTTCTTGGCACCCACATTGGCCCGCAGCCCGTGGCCAGCCAAGGCATCAATAGAATCCCCTGCAATACGCCGCACAGCCCCGCCCAAAGCAGAAGCCCGTTGCTCGACAATGCAAGTCGCAAGGTCGTCCGCATATACCAGGTCCTGCACTGTGACCGTCTGCACATCTAGGCGCCGGCCGTCGTGACTCTGCATATCCCTCTTGCCGTTCCAAGGGACCTGCGGCTTCCAGCCTTCAGCACTGAAATCACCTCGGCGCTGCAAAACTTTGGTGAAGAGCAAGCCATACAACACATCCGCGAGGCTGCTTCCCGGCCTGGTACCCCGCTGGGTGCGCACAATAGCCGAGTCTTGGTTCATGACGAACCAGGTACTGCAATGCAATTCCCTTGTGAGTGCAGCAAGCAATTCCCCTGAGCCTTCCCCTGTCAGCACCGGCTCCTCGGCGACGTAGTGCTGGAGCTGTTGCAAATCCTCCTGAGTGAGGGCAAGATTAGCCGCAATCTCCGTAACCGGAGCGCTCGCAGAGTGCTGGCCAGTGATCAGCTCCCGCACCACAGAATAATAGGCAGAACTGATGTCTGTGAACAAGATCGCCGCAGGGATGGAGCGACGACGCGTGTACGCAAGAAAGGCCCTGGTGCAGAAGAAGCCGATCATATAGCTCAGGCCCTTACGCCCGCCTATCATGAGAGCGGGCGCAGTGCGATCCCACTCCCTGACCGTCATAGGACGAACCGCCTTGTGCAGGACCTTTTCCAAGACTGACTGCACAAGTATGGCACGATGAGAAGACAGGGCAGCCGGGTCAGGGGCACCCGGCTTCGGGATCCGGAACAAGGTGCCTCCTTTGAGCCCGATGGGCTCTGCCGCGTAAATCATCGTCTTGAGGAGAATGGGGTAAAAGAGCACCGCCATTTGACAGGAGAACCGGCGGCAGATAGCCGGGGGAAGGCCATCAGGGCCGCTGGCCTTTTGAGGGTTCACGCTGCGGAAGTGCTGGGCAAGCTGCACAAGATCTGGAATCTCTTCGGCGCAGAGATGGTCGAGTGCCTGGCCCTGGGACTGTATTGCAAGACAGCCACCCACAAGGTCCTCAACAGACGTAAGCTGCCCTCCTTCGAGGTCAGCAAAATGCGTTCTCCATTCTTCCGTGAGCTCAGAATGGCTTGCGCACAGCTGACCCGAACGCTTCTTAAGGCGTGGCAGAGGATCCTGTCCCACCCTCCGGAATTTCCGGGGACGTAGGAGACGCTTGAGCGCTGTGTGCACCTCGCCCTGCCGCGAAGCCTGGACCTCGTCCGCCAGACCATCGAGGTGTGCACGCTTGTCTCGGCGGCACTGTTGTCGGAGTGCCTTGCCGGTCTCCCGAATGCGATCAACCAAGACAGCAATCACCGCACGCAAATGGGACAGCCATCGGCCACAAAACAGTCCCGCAAAGGTAACGGCCGGCTCTGTCCAGGCCCTGAAGGCACATCGGAGTCGAGCAATCTTCAGGGCCGCGACTCTATTGCGCAAGGCATGTCGCCAACGCGCGGCCTCGGCATGCAAGTCCCCTGCAGCTGTTGACAAGAAGGAAGCTCGCATCCTCCGGTTCTGAAGGGGAAAAGCCTTTGCCAGGGAATCAAAGAGGTGATCAACCACCAAGGCAGCATGATCATTCACGTTAGTCGACCAATCGACTGCCGGTACCGCACTCAAGATTTCTGCAATGCGGTCAGCATTCTGTGGCGCCTGAATGGCAACTGGGTCGATGCGGACAGCCTTCTTATCATGCCGTGGTGTAGCGAACATGATTTCACACTCCACAAGCGCAGCAAAATGATCCGGCGTGGCATGGCCTGAAGAAATTGCAGCCTCGACCCAGGCACGCACACTCCAAGTTTTCCAACAGTCCGGCAGACATACAAAGTCACATCGCTGCAATTCCTGGCTCTGTTTTTGAAGGAAGGTGCCTCCTGGCCCTTCCATACAGTGGGAGAAAGTAGCTGGCAACCACACGCCCAGGCGAAGCGCCAGGTCATGCAAACAGGCCCCTCCCTCGTCTTGAACGTCAGCCTGATGCGCACCGACACACGCCAACAGCCGTGCGTCCTCCCGGCTGTTCGGGATAGCTTCATGGTCTGGGAGGAGAAGCAACGTCCCTCGGCATTGTCTGCAGAGCAGTTACTTCGGCCTTTCCTACGGGCAGTTCCGACGCCGGTCAAGACCGGACATGGCCGCACACGTCGTTTTCTCTGTCGATGTGTTTCCTTCAACGCTTTGTCGCTGTTGCAGGCAGATGAAACCGCGGCAGGCCGTGCGGCAGGCTTGCACGGAGCGGTTGGCCGTGTTGCGCTTCTAAGACAATCGTTGCGGGACCATGATGTTTTCTTGGCAGGCGTGCAAGAAGCACGCACTGACCAGGGATGCTGTCACAACGATGAGTATTCCAGGTACTGCTCGGGCGGGACAGACCGACGATGTCTAGGTGTTGAACTTTGGATTGCTAAAGGCGCGGCTTGGCCGGAGCATAAGTTCGTTATCAGACATGTTGACCCCCGTAGATTGCTTGGGCGCCTCACTTTTGCCGGGCTGACTTGCAATGTACTTGTTGGCCATGCCTTGCATCGCGGACACGCAATTAGTGAGCGTGAAGCCTGGTGGCAGGAAACGTCGCAACTCTGCGCCGCAGCCCATGATGGCCTTGACTGGATCTTGCTGTTGGACGGCAATTGCCGGGTGGGCTCTGGGAACCAGCGCGCAGCAGCAGCTTGGTTCTCGATCCACAGATCAGCCTGAAAACAAAAGGGCCCCAGACTACTTTTGCCTTGCAGTCCCAAATTCGCCAAACCGTCGGCAAGTTCATTCGGGCAGTCCCCAGAGTGACCCGCCACATGGCAGTATTGCGCGTGGCTGCCTGCCAAGGTCCTTAGACCCATGTGGATGCCTCGCAGGACATCGCAGACAAGAATAGGGCCGGTACTCACCTCGCCAGATGCCCCTTGCAAAGCGGCTAAGTTGTCAGCACGTATGAGGACGTCCCGTCGGGCAGGGAATTGAAGGGCAATCACCCCAGCCCAGACGAGCCCCCAAACCTCAGCAACATATGCATTGACAACCTGACCGGTAGCAACTCCCGGGACCGGTCCATATATACACCCAGCGAATTGGCCAACAATATCCGGTGGTGTGGCAAGACCGATGACTACAGCCCAGCCAGCACGCCCCGAAGCCGGACTGAAGGAGCCGTCAGCTGTCAATGTCAGTCGCTCGCCCGGAGCGAGCGCCCGTCCTGGCGCGCCATCACGCACCCAATCCTGAAAGCGCCAGGCCTTGCTAACCTTATGCCGAGGTCCCCGCAGAGCACGAATGTCGACCCAACGACAGAGGCTGTCACACAAGTCAGCAGTGCACGGCAGCACACACTGCCCTTCTGTCAGGTCAAACTGCTCAGCAGTAGCAACATGCGGGTCAGGAGCTGCTGCAGCGTGGTGATCGGGAATCAGATCTGAAAGGCACAGTGCGCGAGCAACGCCATCATGCACACCGGTAGGCGCGCCTCCCGCCGCCCCCTCAAGCACTGCGACGGGTGCCTCAGGATAAAAGTGCTCCTGCAACGTCTCGAGCAGAGTGGCCGCGAGGAAGAAGGCTTGCGAGTCGGTCTGAGCGACAGCCTCCTCAAGGAGGGTACACAGTCCATGGTCAAGGTCCGCAACTATTGTGGTGGGAACCGATGCTCGGCTAACACTTCGCCCGTAAGAAAAGTCACACACGGCATCACGAGCAAGCCCCGCATCGACAATGTCCGTTCGACTGAGAAGCGGCCTCGGAACTCTGCTTCAGCACGCTTACTGCTTACCCCGTCTGCAGCAGTGCCTTCTGGTGCCGCCTCACGGATCTGCACCCCCCCAACGGCACAGCGAAGGGAGAGAAGTAGAAGAAGAAGGCAAACGGCCCTCCTACTTCTACAAAGCAACTGCGCACGCTGCAAACTCAGGACAAGGGCGAGGCAAAGCCCGACGAACAGTCTCCAAGCAATGCAACATGCCCATTGCACGCAGTGAGCTCCGATAGTGCATAAAAGGTCGGATCGCCAGCGGCGAAGGAAATCAGGTAACCTGTTTCCGGGCAAGAAGCCAGAGGTGGGGCGCGGCCTGCCTTCATGAAAGGCGACTTGACGCGAGAACGCGCTCCACATGTCAACCAAACCCTTAATACCTAACTCCCTTCGGGCAGCTGCATCGTGCTGATGGCCGTGTCGGTCGAGCAAACGGCCTTGTGTACTGCCAGTGCCTGCATCGGCTCGCGAAGAGGCGGAGCCGGCGGAGGCACCAACATCGTCCGGGTCGGCATCACTATCCCCCTCATAGTCATGCTCATCACCTGGCGGGGCATCATTGCCGTCATCAGCAGGTGCCCGCCACGGAACCCCGCGACGTTGCCACAGTTCGACCCATAGAACTTGGCCGGGGAAGACAATGCGAACATGATTGGCCATGCCCGGCGGGACGTGCCCCCCTACCAGCCGGATGAAATGACTGGGGGGGCACCGCGCTACGAACCGCGCGCAGAGCGATGACACGTCGACTCTGCCTGCTGGTGCCAGGGACCAACCTATCTCCATCAGCAAAGGGCGCAAATCCAGGACGAAAGGGACGTTATCGCCCAGGGCCGTCTGCAATGCCAAGAAAACCCTGCCCGACGGGAAGCCCCCCCGGGCGTGATCGCGGATCATAGGTGTTGATGGCAAGAAGGTGAGGCTATCCTCGTCAATATTCCACAACTGGGAAATGGCTATCCGCAAGGGCGCAACACAGCCCGGTTGGCGCATAAAGCTCTGGCCAAGTTGATCCGTGAGCAGCCAGTCGCTCTCTACGCCGAGGCCAGGTGCAACCGGATCAGCAGGCCACCCGTCTCCCGAGGCCAACATGTCACGAAGGGAGAGCGGCGGCGACCATGGCCTATCTTCCAGATATATCGCCACGAGGTCACCAGCCGTCACCCGAAAGCGTTCACCTGCCAAGGCGGCCCACGGGACATCAGATACTAGTACTCTGACAGGAACCCAACCAGGCACACAGGCGAGCCTCACAGCAGCCTCGACCGACAGAACAGCAGGTACGACAGCTGCAAAGAATCGTACCGGAGGCACATAACAGGCAATCAGAACAGGAATGCCCTCAAAGGCCCAACTGGGAACGGCCAGAAGGCAAGCGAATGGCAAGGGCGGCTGGCTGTGCACGGGAATGATTCGCGGAAAACGTCGGCCACCCGCCGCATCACGCACGGCTGTGACACTGTCAAGCACCTCCTCAACCGAAACCGGAAAGGCGAGGCGAACAGAGACAACCTCAGCCTGGTACTCAGGTGAGAGGAGTAGGAAGTGTGCCAATTGCGGCCCCAAGGCTGGCCCAACCTCGGATCGAGGAGCTGCAGAGGCAGGGACCTCCTCCAGGACAGCTGCATCGCCGGCCCTGTCCTCCCCTACCTGCGCGAAGGCACCGCTAGAGGGCGCCGCTCCTTCTGCTGTTGTTGTCGCATCCGTGGCAATCGGCGCAGTACTGCCGAAGCTGTCAATCGGGACAGGCACGTACATGACAGTAAACACCTGACCTGGCCTTGCTGGCAAAAGACCTGATAGAGGGACATTGTCAACGAAAGCCGCTTGCCAACCCGGCGGTGCGTCGACGTCAAGCAAGCGAGAGATCGCACTAACATCAATGTGGCCGTCAAGTACGTAAACGGAGCGCCAGCCTCGCTCAAGATGGCGACAATGAAGCAGTGCGAGGGACCATATCACGTGCCGGGCAAGCGATAGACCGTCAGCAACAGCCAGAAGTGTAGGGCACGGCAACCCCAAGACAGCAACATCGTCCGGTCTCGGCATGGCAGCAAAAATGCGCATGTGTCGCAGACTGACACTTGCGGCCTCAGCAATGGCCCGCCTGTACCGGCCTGGAGCAAAGGACTCATTAATGTGCAAGCACTGCCCCTCTAACGGTACAAGACAAATTGCATCGGCAGAGGACGGGATCGGAAGCATAGAAGCAGCACTCCACACATCCCGAGACAAGAGCAGTTGGCCAAGCGTACAAGGCACAGGGGGGGTTTCCCCTTCGGGCAGAAACCAGATGAGGACCCCCGGCGCTAAATGCACCAGGAGGTCATTCGGGAGACACTGGCCGTCTGTGCCTACCCAGACATCCGGCTCAACGCGGGCCGGCAGCCCCGCAATCCTTATGAGTTCGGCACGGGTGGCGTAGGCAGGTGCAGCTGTTGTGAAGATCCGATTGTCAAACCGTGAGGTATCAAAGCAGACCCCGGAACTATGCTGCCAAACCGGAGAAGCTATAAACACGGCGGTGCCAATGCACGGCTGCGGCAAGACAGGCAGCAACGCGGGAAAGTTGTTTCTGTCGCTATGCTGTCTGAGCGGCTGGAGCTCATCAATGAGCTCCTCCTGCGTGGCTGGCAAAGGGAGAACAACAACTGCGACCTCAGCGACGAAATCACGCTTCAAGACCACGCAGCTGAGCCTGCGCTCGAAGAGCGCCGCCACGGCGTCCACATCCTCCGTCTCCATCACCGGCTGGACGAAAGCCTGAGCAAATATACCGGCAGCCTGGTACGCCAAGGGCCGCCTAGCAACCTTGCAAATGAGTGGAGCGTATCAAGCAAGCCTTGTTCCGAAGCCGAACAACCCTCTGGTTCGGAAAGCACTCTGTGCTGTTTGACGCGGCCGCCACAACGTCGGCTGTACGCACCAACGGGTATGCAACATCGGCGCCCCACAGCGAATGCTCGCGGCCAGCACAAGAGAGCCAAGACAATTGCACCCCAGGCCGTCAGTAAGACAACCCCAACAAGCGCTAGATCCCTCCAGATGGGCACCCCCGTGTCCTGCGGGAAATCCGGGTGCAAGGGGACTAAAGCCGCTGTAGCCCGACACGGTAAAATGAGGGCAGCTAGCCCGACTCCGGTGGCAGGAACCCCAAAGGCATGTGCGGTTCCTGCAGCTCCTCTATCTCGTGGCGACCGACTACGGCTTCGGCGCTCTCCTGCAGCGGCGCCAGTGCCCGCACCATCATCAGTGGCACAGGACGTGTCAGATGCATCTTCATCTTCTGGACCTGCGTCAGTGTCGGACATGTCATCCTCCGACCCATCTGTCGGCGTATCCAGGAAAGCCTCGCTCACATATGAAACCTCCAAAATCGTGCCATGCGGAACGATCAAGTAGGGGCTGTCGCGATCGTGCAAGGCTCCCCCGCCTCTGACCTCAACGACAAAACCTGCCGGTGCTTGCGCTGAGAAGGGGGCAATGAGAGAGTCATAGCACACATGACCCTCCCTGGCAAGGAACCAAGTGCACGCCTGAAGCATCGGCCTCCTATCCAGGAACACAAGATGCTGCTTGGGATGCCAGATACCTGGAGGTATCGGCACTCGTGGGAGGCGCTCTGTAACAGCCACGATCGCGTGGCAGTCTTGGCCGACTTCACTGACATCGTCCAACCTAGGCACTGTAGGGCATATCGTTAGCAAATGCATGCTATAGTTGAAGAGCTCAACCGCAACATGCTTGAAGTCCGCAGTTGATTGGATCGTGTCAACGTCAATATCAACGATCCGGCGGTCGGTGTCAGTCAGGGCAAGAAGACTAGTGCTCGGCCGGCCTCCAAAGTAGGGACAGGGCACTTGCCAACCTCTACTGGACTGAAGCATCCGCTCAAGAGTGCACATGCGTGGCAGTGCGCCGCCAGCCGGCACGAAGGAAACTGTAGCTCCCTGCCACAGACGATACGGTCGGTGGTGGTACGCCAGGCGCCTCCCAGCAATGTAGACCCGCAGGCCAGGCGAATCTGGAATGCCGAGCTCAAGCAACAAAGCGTCACGACTCATGAACTCAGGCACAATCCAACTGAAGAGCCGATCATCAATCTGCCTAGCATCGACGACCACGCACCTGCAGTTGTCCGCCCAATCAGGGACAGCCAAAATGACTGCAAACGCTGGATCAGGTTGAGGCTCGGCCGCAATAATAGTGCCAAACAACTCAACTTTTGCGGCATCTCGTGCCTCTTCAATTTCCTGCATGGCTGTCACGACCTCGCAAGGCACGCGAAGAACTAGTTGCAGAATTTCAGGCTTGTATCTTGGCGACAAGACAATGAAACCACCGTTGATGAAGGTGGGGGGCGGCGGATCGTCAGGTCTTGCCCGCAAAGGAATGCGGGTGAGCGGGTCCTCACCATCTTGCACAATCTCTGGCGTGGGTGCCGCCTCAATCTCGGGATCTGTTTGCATGGCGGCAAGCACCACATTACGTTCCCTCATAGGCCTGCGACACTGAAATAACGGCGGGAAACCCTCGTCTTCGCCGCCTTGGGGCGATGTGGGGACGTACCCAACAACTATTGTGCAAGATTCAGCAATGTGAAAGGAAAGCCCTTGAACGGGCACCCCAAGCACGCAGACATCAAAGCCTCGAGGAGGGCACAAGCCTACCTCACCGATCAAGTCCTCAACTTCATGCCAACCGACCGGCACAAAGATCACCGCCGGCCGACGACCCAAGGACCGAACATCAACCAACACGAAGACGCCCGACACACTGGCGCAAGGGGTGTCATGAGGCTTAGGCGTGGCGGCAAGGACGCCTTTGACGCGAATACCCTCGCAGCAGATTCTCATGAGTGGGCTGGCAAGCGGTGTGTCGCAGACCAAAATCTCATCAGCGAAGGCCGGGATAGCGTCCGCAACGAGAGCCTGAACCCCTGCAAAATCAGCGCCGGCATACTCAATCAACCGCGTCACATGGCTGC